ACTAAAGAATAGAGGAAAGACTTTTTAGTTTTTTAATTCCTGACACATCACTTTGTAAACCTAGTTTGTCAAGTCACTTTGTACAAGTACCATGATGCCAAAATTAAATACAAATATATGGTGTTTGGGGTAAGTACGTGGCAAGATCAACGACTACAATTTGCAAAGTATGTGACAGCCAGAAGCCGGCAAAAATACAAGGTCATTGCTGTCTTGTTCCGAGATATCATGGTTGGGTCCCACATAAAACGAAACAGCCAATTAAATTTTACACACCGTGTGAATTTGGACCCCACACGTCAAGTACTACGCGTGTTGGGCATCATGATGATTTACTAAAGTTACAACTCAATTTTGGAGTACATCCAACAATTTTTCATGGGGTAATATGTAAATAGGATAGATCATGTGAAGTTGTCGGTTATCGAAATTTTCGTATAGACCATGTCAAGTAAGATCTTCAAAGTTATAGTTATTGGATACAATTATGTTTAGACTCGAGGTCGATTCTCCCACACGATCCAATTGTTCAAGCACAAGACGAAATGAGTCGTGTTGAAGAGTATAAACTAATTCATCTTAGTAAGAGTAAGTCAGTCCGGACAACTTGGATATAGGATAGATTATGTCACTCTAACTTATTGTGAGTTATCAGATCTCGAGATAAATCACGTCAAGTGAAACAATCTTTTAAATTATAATTGTACTGTACAATTTTGTGTGATTCGAGGTCGACCATCCCTCGAGAAAGTAATGTGAACATAATTCCACTCTGTTATACCTTTCCATTTACACTCCATGTTTATTTGAACATAAGAAATTAAAGTTGGTTATGTACTTATTATACATATCATTTCGCTTCAAAATACTGTTTACCTTATTAATCTCTTTATGAAGCGACATGATTAAAGGGTTTTGTACCTAATAATTATGTCTAATTTTCTATTTAACTTTAAAACCTAGTTTGATTTGATAAAACACCGTACGGAATAATAAAAATAAAAATAAAAGGTTTAAATTTTGTCTAGCATACTGTTTAATTAACATATCGAATATAAGATTATATTAGATAGAAGACAATTAGCTATCTTATTGCCCGAACTCAATCCTTCTAATTTCTATCCAGTCAGGGATGAGGTATTTAATACAGTTCCCAACGAGGCTACACATCTAAGCCACGAGCTACGAATTGGGCTCTAGCGCCCTTGCTTCTACTCCAACTCTTTCTCCTACTTACTCCTCCAGGCTCCAACCCTAGCAGCTCTAGGAGGCACTTCCAGGCGCTAGTCGCCAAATTTTTTTTTTTCCTTTTCAATAATGTTTAGATTAATTTATGAGTAATGCTATTCATCAGCAATGCTAATTGCTAAGGATCATCATTCGATGTGGTACATCATTGTCAAATAAAATTGAAAAACATTTTATTAGGTGGAGGGCGAAGAAGGTCTCCTTCAGACAGTTGCTAACATTCACGATATCAATGTGGATTTTGCTAGGTGCCTAGGTGCCTGGTCAAATCTTCCATACACAACATGCCAACTCAAAACTTGATTTCAACACCACTTGATGAGTCATTTCAAAACCAAACCTTGAAAGTTTTTGTGGACAAGAACCTCAAATATGGCATCTAAATTAAACATGATGATGTTCTGTCAATTTGTTTGTTGTGTATCACTGGCTGAATCTGGCAAATTCCAAATTCTAGCTAAACTTGCATTTATTTCTCACGGGTTGTTCTTAATTCAATCAATAATGAAAGAAACAAGGATATCCCAACACAACCATAGACAGCAAAACGTGGTCCAACACTGTACTGGTTTGTTTTCTCATGAAGAAGTAATTACAAGAAATTAGTTTGTGCGCATGTTAGATGCTGGATTGTATATCTTTAACTAGTTTGTTTTTTACATTAATTTACTCCGAAAAATTACTGTGATTGTGATTGATTATGACCTTACTACTTGAAAGTCGCATGTGATTCTGATTGATTATGACCTTACTACTTGTGATTTTGATTGATTACAAGAAATTAGTTTGCGCGCGTGTGTTAGATGTTGGATTGTATATCTTTAACTAGTTTGTTTTTTACATTAATTTACTCCGAGAAATTACTTGTGATTTTGATTGATTATGACCTTACTACTTGAAAGTCGCATGAGTTTGAGAACGAGAAGTGGGACTAGCTAGGGTCAAAATGGTGAACATGACAAAGTTTTGTCTTGAAAATACTTGCACGCAATTTGTTTGATGCATTTCTAAACGTGAAAATTGCAAATTAAATAGAGTTAAATGCATTATGGGTTGCCAAAGTTTGAGTGGAGTGGCATCCATGTCCTTCGTCTTCAATTTATTGCAATTTAATCACTAATTTTGATTTGCTTGCGAACCTAGCCACTCCTTGACGCCATGTTAAGTTGTTAACTAACAAAATACATTGATCTAAACTACACCTAATTTATGGAGTAGTCAAAGTCATATACAATCAAAAAAGGATGTTCACCCACCCAAGTTGACTTCCACAACCCCGAAATAGTCAATGTCATACACAACCGGAACAAAAAAAAGGTTTTATGCACCCGGGTTAACTTCCATAGCACTAAATAGTTGAAATCATACCCAATCGGAAAAGGATATTACAACCCCAACTAGTCGAAGTAATTTCCCATCGGGAAAAAGATGTTCATCACACTTTTTTTAACTTCCACGTCCTGAAATAATCGAAGTGAATACCCCCTTTGAAGAAAA